AACCCCTATAGCTTTCAACTATCTGGTGGTAAAAACAGCAAACGTCTCCGAATCTTGGCGCGCCCGTGACGAGGCAGTGTCTGCGAACCTATTACTGTAGTTTCCTTGCTTTTCGGTGCCGCTGCGTAAGCACAGCTCGCCTTGCGGCATGAAGGGGCCACCGCCCTCCACGCGCGCACGGCACACATACAGGCAGAAATGCGATAGCTCGTTGTTCTTTCCGCCGCTTCTCCCCTCCTGGAAAAACGAGGGGTCTTAGCAGCCGCTTGTGCTTTTTGCGCGCAAGAAGCCTTGGAAACAAGCGGCGCCGAAGGAGGCGAAAAACACAGCAGCGCTTGCGACCTCGAGGGTGCCGCCATGCAAAGCGAAACCCAGACGCCGGCGATCATCTGCGGCGAGCCAAGGCGCGGTTGTGCGCGACGAGCCACTTGTGTGGCAATACACGAGCCTCCGGGCTCAGGGCTTCGCGCGCGACGCGGGCCCAAGTCTGCTCGATGAGGGCTGACGCCAGCACCACCCTTCCGCCGGCTCACACGCCACCTCCCCTACGCGCAGTCGTGAGAGCGCAGACTGCCCTCATGGCGAAAAGTCGACCTGCAGCTGCTGAGCGCTGCGCGCGCGTCTGTTCGTGGGGCGGCTGGGATGATTGCCAATAATTTCTGGCATCATGTCTGCCGGCTCCCCGCTGACAGTGGCCTTGGCAGCTTCGCCATCTTGTGTTCTTCACACCTACCAAGAACAAACAACATGCGGACTGGAGGCTGCAGGAGCTCAGCGAGCGGGCGCCGTTCATCAGCGAGCCGTGCCGAAGTGAACTCGCGCAGTAGAGCGCAGGGGCCGCAGGGGCCACTGAGTCCCCCTGCGCAAAGCCCCCCCGTGCAAGCTGTCACTGCTGGCAGGCAGTCGTTGCAAGCCGTCGCTTTCCCACCACAGGTCAACAGATTGCGTAGCAGCCTCGCGCAAACGGCAAAAGCGCCGGAGCGACCTCATCACATTTGCGGGGGAAAGCAGCCCCTGACACACAGTTATGTGCGACCGTCGAGCGATACAACGGGCACCCCGCAGAGGGGAAACTAGGCAGTCGGAACCAGCGCGCGTTGCCTCGTCCAAACGCTGCGTTGGCCTCGTCCGTTGGGGGAGGTACGGCGGGTGGCCCAGTCCTGGAACCATCGCCGCATCGAACGCGCAGACAAGCGCCCCGCTTGGAACTCCACCAAACGCTGGAGAAGCGCAGCCTTGGCAACGCCACCACTGGCCGCAGCCTCGCACGTGCGCAGCAAACGCGGGAACAAAACGAAGAGCTTCGCGCGCAAGCCCAATGATTTGCTATTGACGTACCTCGATGATGCCAACTTCGTTTTGGTCGCCTGTCTGAGTCTTCGCCGTGCGTGCTGCACCTTCCCTGAGCACAGCTGTCGTCGCTGGTCGCTCGGTGGTCTGCCCTGCCCTCCTTCGCGGCCCTTTCTTTTCCCGAGTCCTAGCTTGAAGGGTGGGTTGGTGCTGCCCAGTCCAACCGCAATGTGCGTTGCCCAGACTTGAGTGTGCTGCTTGCGGGCGAATCCCCCAACAGCATGCGCCCCGAAGAACTTCGTGGAACTCTGCTAGAACCCTAATGGAACCCTGGCGGAACCGTACCTCAGGCCCGCCCCGAACCACCCGGAGCCGATCTGAGCTGAGACCCCTTCAGCTGCCAGGGAAAAAACTAGGATTCTATTTGGTTTCACTGAGGCCCAGCTGGGCAGGGGTCAAGGAAGGCGAGCCGACTCACACAGGTCCAAGCCCGCGCCTTGCCTACTCTGTCAGTCCGTGCCATGGCTTCAGCCGCCGGGCTTGGTTTTGAAACTACTCTTGACATGGTGCCGCGGCGCGCCATGCTTGAGGCACTGCCACGCCGTTCCTGGGGCCAGCCGCTGCCTCCTGTTCGTCTGTTTGTTCTACGCGTCCGCATCTGAGTTCGTGCGGCGTGGTGCAGCAAGCATCTGCCTGAGCCTCGAAAAGGAGGGGCGTTGCTGAGCCAAGGCCGCCGAAAGAAATCGCTGACGACAATGCCCCGGACACGGTTTTTGCAGAGCCACCAAGCAACCCAAACCAAGGGCACACACGATGTCCGGGAAGACCTCTGCGAGGCTGGGATGTTTCGGGGCGGCGCCTTTTTTTGCACGGCCCATGTTGCTGTTCCTGTTGCTGTTGTGGTCGTCGTCGTTATTGTGGCTGTGGCTGTGGCTGTGGTTGTTGTTGTTGCTGCTGCTGCTGCTTTTGGTGGCGGTGGTGGTGGTTGTGGTGGTGGTGGTGGTGGTGTTGTGGTCGTTGTGGTTGTGGTTGTGGTTGTGGCTGTGGTTGTGGTTGTGGTTGTGGTGGTGGTTTGTGGTTTGTGGTTTGTGGTTTGTGGTTTGTGGTTTGTTGTGTGTTGTGTGTTGTTTGTTGTTTGTTGCTTGTTGCTTGTTGCTTGTTGCTTGTTGCTTGTTGCTTGTTGCTTGTTGCTTGTTGCTTGTTGCTTGTTGCTTGTTGCTTGTTGCTTGTTGCTTGTTGCTTGTTGCTTGTTGCTTGTTGTTTGTTGTTTGTTGTTTGTTGTTTGTTGTTTGTTGTTTGTTGTTTGTTGTTTGTTGTTTGTTGTTGGTTGCTGTTTGTTGGTTGTTAGTTGTTGGTTGCTGTTTGTTGGTTGTTAGTTGTTGGCTGTTGGTTGTTGGTTGTTGGTTGTTAGTTGTTGGTTGTTGGGTTGTTGGTTGTTGGTTGTTGGTTGTTGGTTGTTGTGGTTGTTGTTGGTGCTGTTGTTGTGGTGGTGGTGGTGATGGTCGTTGTCGTTGTCGTTGTCGTCGTTGTGGTCGTTGTGGTTGTTGTGGTTGTTGTGGTTGTTTTGGTTGTGGTTGTGGTTGTGGTTGTGGTTGTGGTTGTGGTTGTGGTTGTGGTTGTTGTTGTTGTTGTTGTTGTTGTTGTTGTTGTTGTTGTTGTTGTTGTTGTTGTTGTTGTTGTTGTTGTTGTTGTTGTTGTTGTTGTTGTTGTTGTTGTTGTTGTTGTTGTTGTTGTTGTTGTTGTTGTTGTTGTTGTTGTTGTTGTTGTTGTTGTTGTTGTTGTTGTTGTTGTTGTTGTTGTTGTTGTTGTTGTTGTTGTTGTTGTTGTTGTTGTTGTTGTTGTTGTTGTTGTTGTTGTTGTTGTTGTTGTTGTTTGTTGTTGTTGTTGTTGTTGTTGTTGTTGTTGTTGTTGTTGTTGTGGTTGTGGTTGTGGTTGTCGTCGTCGTCGTTGTTGCTGTTGCTGCTTGTGCTGGTGCCACCGTCATTGGTGCTGCTGTTGCTGCTGTTGCCGCTGCTGACCCGCTGTTGTTGTTTTTTCCTGCTGCTGCTGCTGCTGCTGCTGTCGTTGGCGTGGTTATCGTCCAGCGGTGAACAAGGCCTATGAGAGGGCGATGCGGAAAACGGTGGGCACGGCGGTGCGACGCATTCGGCGAAGCCTGGCATCAATGATTCCCTTGTTTCATGCGCGGTCATGTAGGTTGACCCTGCTAAAGGGGACAAGCTTCCACAGGCGTCGCTGACCAATCCGACTGCGCAGTCCTCCATTCGTCTTGCGGAGCGCAATCCAAACCAAAAGAATTCTTTGCAAATTAGGCCGCTGCGTTCGGGAACTGATTCCTCGCAACAGACCGATACGCCTCTGTGATCGTGCGTCGTCTGCACGCATTGTGTCGCTCAATTTTATACTCATTGCGCGCGATCTGACGCCCCAGTGCATCTGGTACAACAGCACGCTCATCATTTCTACAGCACGCGCGCTTCATAAGTTACATCCGCTCGTTTCACAGTCCTGCTCTGGATAAAGAGTCTGGATGGCAAATTTGAGTGTATGGCGGGCAGCCTTACCTTTTGCAATTCTTAGATCCAGAACTGACACGGCTGATGTCAGATCAATGTACAAGCGGTGCGATGGCACATCGGGGGCACCGGGTGGGACCATGGGACTATGGGACCATGGATGCGGCAAACGGGGGGGCAGTGACCCCGGCGCAGTGTAACCCTCCTGCGTGTAGCGCATAGCAATGATCTGGCGAGCCATTGAGATGCGGAGAGCAAGTTGACAACAGCGGATAGAGACCAAGGTGAGGCAGCGGCAGAGCCACCAAGCAGCACAGCCAACCAATGACGTACGGATTGCCGGCAAAACAAAACCAACATCAGTAACAGCAACAGTCAATTAGATTGCACGGAAAAGTGGCAAGAGCTTCTGAATGCATATCCCTTGCTCAAATTCAGTCAAACAAAGGGACGTCTGATACATTCGCTGTTGGGTCAATCGTCGCAACAAAATCTGTTTAGCACAGCTGAGGTCTCAACATTGCCAGCGGCGTTTGCCAAAGTTGGAGGAGCAAGCACTGTTTAAGACAGCTCCGTTGATCAGGTGTTGTTGTCCAATGACTCATGACTTACCAGCCTAGCCAAAGAGTCTCAGCTAGCCTGTTGCTTCGCCTCTCACTTTTTCCGACCGCCAGCCCGACATAGCCCGACTCTGACTTGCCAGGCTAAGGTCCGGATCTGCCAAAATGTCCAACAGACATTCAACAGTAACTGGTAGCACTGCACACATACAATGAAAGCGTATTGCGGCTCCAAAAGCTCTCTCAAAATCGAAAACTGTCAGAGCTTCGCCAGATGCCCGCACAAATACGAAGCATGTCGGAGTGCACCCATCTCAGGTTCCGCCAAAGCTTTGATCTTTGCTGGCACTGAAAACGGCAAGCCTTCCTGTGAGGCTTATCAGGCAGCCTGCCGACCACGGCACCAGAAGGAAAACGCGCCCGCCAGCGCTGCTGGGACACGCGGCAAGTGCCACCGCTTGCACTTGCATTCCAGACTTGTCGGAAGGCATTCAACCTGCTTCGTACCACGACGTGCAAGTGCAAACGATTCCACACTAGCTAGAAACAATGGAAGGAGGGGCTGGCCCCTCTCCTTCACGTGCTTCGTAGGGCCAATGCGCAATGCAAAGCACACATTTACCTGATGCTCATGGGGACAACTCAACTACGTTGTTGGTGGCCCTACTGAATGCGAACTGCGGCGAAACAGGTACACGCGCACACGCATGCGACGCATGCGACGCATGCGCCAAAAGAATCCACAAGCAAACAAGACCGGAAAAAGCCTCAAGGGAAGCCCGACTTCATAGACCACTTCCAACGGCTTTTCAGCTGGACCCTTCTTTCGCCTCGACTCCATCGTGGCCTCGTTCATCGGTCTATACCTTGAGAGTTCCTTCGGTCAGCTAGTCTTTTGCTCAAGCCGCAGGTTCCATTGCAGGGCCTCGTTCACTGAGCTAAACCAGTCGGATGTGACCTTGGCAAAATCAAAGCCGTGACTTCGTGTGCCAGTATCCTACAAATATAATTCTTCAACTCTACAGTCTACAATCGAACTCAGGCATCACTCATTTGGAGGCAACCACAATCCCGGGTCGAGTCGTGCCACACGTGCCGCCAAGCTGCAGATGATCGGCAAATTGTGGGCACAGGAAACTGTGAAACCTGCACCTCAATGGAATCTGAGCGTTTCAGCTCGATGCGGTCCTGCCAGAAAAAACAACAACTTCCATGGAGCCAGAACAATGACCAATCGCAGTGCATCTTCTAAGACATGCATTTGTCCGTCTGACCGCTGCCGAGAACTTGCCCTGATGCACTTGTCCCTTTGTTCTACGTCCGGTTGCGTGCGGTCCTTTCCATCCACCGCGACCATGACCCGAGAGTTTCGGGAGCTGTCTGGCACTTGCACCTTGATGACCTGGGTGGCAGGTCTGCATGGGTGGCATGCGCGAGCATTGGGATACCTTTCAATGCTACCGACCCCGAGCCGATTGACAACACCTGCAAGGAGTGAGCACCTCAAATTTGTTAAATACATCATATCTGGGCTTCTTGCAGCACTATCTGGAAGGACTACGGGTCGAAATGATAGAGAGTGTGGACCTTGGCCAAGGCGAAGGTAGCCAGCACAGGTTGCACACATGCAGTTCTCATGACGTCAACTCAAAGATGAACCTGAGCTTTGAACAAACTGGTGTCAAGATGATGCCCGGCACTGCCGGATGCATCATGGAGCCACCAGCAGCTAGCGAATACGCGGTACTGCCCGTCGCTGTCGCAATGATCAGTCCATCTCCTTGCACCATGGTTACAAGCTTGTCGTTGACCTTAGATCAAACAAATACCTCACAACACACACACACACACCCTGGCAGGCAGCCCGGGTGCAAATGCTATCAGCGACTGAGAGACCCGCGTAGACTTGTAGCTTGACCAAATGCCCACTGGAGCCTCTGTGCACGAGAACCTGAGGGGACTAGCTGCCGTCAGCACGCATGAGTTAACTTTGTGAGCAAGGCAGTGGAATAGTTTGGTCGTAACATGCGCATCTCCTTTATAGCCATTTTGCCGGCGCTGGCTCGCCTCATTCATAGCTTGCACGGGGATGGACTTTGTCCCCTGACGCAAAGCATAAACTGGCATGCGGCTTGTGCAATGTCTTTGGCGCATGGTCCAACAAACACCTGCAGGCTTTGGGCAAACAGTTTCTGCTCCTATGTTTAAGCGGATCTGATGAGCCAACGTCATATCGCTTTAGCGTATCAATGTAAAATCGCGCGAATCTGTCTGGAATAATGACGCTTTCTCACAAGACTCTGACGGCCTCGTCGTGTCTCGTCAAGCGCATCTCGAAGCGCCCCCTGCATGCCACTTGCAGCGGTGGCGCAACCTTCACAGGGTCAGGGAGAAAACACTAGAAATACAAACACTGCGACGATGTGTAAACGGTAGCATTTGTCCCGTGGCTTGAACTCTGAAAGTCCAACCAAGGTGGCTTATCTGCGTGCCTCAAGGTGCTACAGGGCCGATACAAGCCGAAGCTTCATGCCGATGAAGACAGATCTCCACGATCTAGACACCTGTTTACCTGAACTGTCTTGAAGTCCAAACTCGTGTGAACACCTAACATCGGATTGCAAAGAACCATGTCCACCAAGTACACTCCAGCTTGACATGGAACCTTCAAAACCACATCTGTTCTTTTAGGAATCTCCTTTTGGGTGCCCTGTAATAATTTTTCATGGAGTATTTTGGGGGCAGTTCCTTCCCGATTCCCGGCCCTGCGCGCCTCGTTCATACAGCCCAGGATGGGAACCAGGACCTTCATCCAGTCTTGGATGGGAAAGGGTGTGAGGAAGCCCAGCGAGCCACCAGCAAAAGCCATCACCGGCGGCATCGCGCGGATGAACAATCCCGAGGCCCAGCACAAGGTTCCTAGGAGTACATGGCTCGTCCCCTTTTTAGGAATTGGGCACCTTCCAACATGGTGTATTCTTCTCCCCCTTTGCCTTGCAAACCAACCTGAAAAGGGGACCGGGACCCTCAGCATAAAAGACAGCCTTGGCGGGCCTTCCCCCTGCATCCACCCTAATTCAGCTACAAACGAAGCCAGCACCCACGCAAAACCAATCTAAACCAACCACATGCCATCCTCAACCCAAGCTAGACAAGCCCAAACGATGCTAATATCTGTTTTGATATTCATGCACTTCCGGCATTCAGGCTTTGGGCGCTCCTCAGCACATGCTCAAAACCAATCCCCGCAATGACCCGGCTTCTGCGGAGCTTGTGCGAAGACCCCAAACTTTAAGGAACACTTCGACGCAATGGAACATGACGGGTCCCTTGCACCTCTAAGCAGATTGTGTCAAACCGGCAGCACATACCAGGATATACAATCCAGTAACGTTCTTCGGCTATGCCTCCGAGAACCAAACTTCTGCGACAGGAACCTCTGCAATGTGTCAGTCACCCAGAATGTGCCAATAGCTTTGTTTTGACAACATGACTTTGGAGCAGCCTTCACATCACCACATCTTGATGGCTGTTTGGGAGTCCATGCGGCTGTGCCAAGTGTTTTCTGCCAAGGCTCCGTCACCACCAACGCAAATGACCAGGTCGATGCATTCTTCCAACTTGTCCTGACCGTGTAGTGTGCTGAAATGTCCCGTTAAGGTCTACCAGTTCGAGTCTTACACGGTCCACGCCCAGCCTACTCATTTCAATAGGTCTTACATGACTGGCAACCGTCTCCCTGGCAGCGTTGATGTTTTCGGTTCCGACCGTCAGCCTATAACAATATTTGCCAATTCAGGGAATTATTAGTCATGTCAAGCTCTACGTATCTAGTCTAGTCATCACACCAATTGAAGAAAACAGCATTGCAAACACACAACAATTGAAGAGAACCTAGGCTATTGTCCAGTTCTCAGGAACTCAACTCATGGGAAACCAGCTCAGCTCGCTTCTCGCCTGTTGCGGTGCCCAGGTCCGACACCTGTCTAGAAAGCCGGGGGAAGTGACTTGTCCAGCTTGAGCTTCAGCCCAGCGCCACTTCTGTGTGGACGGTTCCTGGAATGTGCCCGCCCCAGAAACCAAGCAAATTGCATTTGAAAGTCGTTGACCAATCAACTTTTTTATGCCCTACGTCAAAAACTGAGTGGAGCAACCCACAATCCAAAATAGCAAGAAATGAAAAAACACCTCAGATGCACTTTGCATGCCGTCCTTCTGCTTGATCTTTGGTGGTAGTTTGGCGCACTCGCAGTCACCGGCGCACCAGCAAACTTTACGAGGAGAAGGATCCGGTTGCATCTTGGGGGTTTTGCCCTGGACTTCATCCCAGAGATCTGGTTCCAGGATGACGTGGCACCCTTGACAAGCCAAACATGGACGCAACAACCCGGCAGCAACTAGTCAGATCCCACTGCACATCACGTGCAAGAAAATGAAATGCATATAATTTGCAAGGCAAAACACCTTGTGAATCGATCCAGTACGCGATCTCTTGCAGCTTCTGTGTCACCTTCACATCACCTGCCATTGTGAGGAAATTGATTTGACATCGTGCATTGCATCCCTGCTAGAACAATATATTTTCAATTTCGTCCATGCCCATGAACTGCTCCAATCCATGGCAAGGTTGCAACTGGCCTTGTTTGGCCACCAATAGGACAGACTTCGGCTTGTCCTGATTTCAGGCTCTGTGAAGGCAAACTCTATCACAAACCTGATGATGCGGAGAAACTGCACACAAAAATATATAAACCAATTTGTCGGTGATTTGTGTGCCTGCAAATGTCTCTGAACTGCTGCATCACCCTTGAAACCGACCCAAAGCTGGCCCTGCCTTCCAGCGCATCCAGGTGTATTGCTGTGTTGTGGTGCGAAGCTCAAGGCCTGTCTTCATCCTTCAGGTTTTCAGGGCGTCATTCCTTCTGGTTGACACCGACACCCAAACATACCAACTTGGACCCATGTGCATGTTGCCAAGGATTTCATTTGCCAAATCAATTCTGTAGCCCTGACTTCAAAGCAACCTCTGCAATGTGTTGGCTGTCCTGGTTCTGAGGCTCACTTCGTCCTCGGAAGAACAGCTCTGTTCTGCCGAATCTTTCTCTTCTAGGACCAAAGAATAATTGCCTCGGCTCGGGCACGGTTGGAACCAACAGCATGGACCATATAGTTATTGTACCAACCACATAGAATAGAACCAATTGAAAGTGATTGATCACATTGCAATTATTGTTTCTTGTTGTTCTATCTATACTTTGTTGTTGGAATGTTTGTTGAACTCATTATTTATTCATCAAATGATTAGCAATATGCCTTAACTTAACTAGACACAAACGCACATAGGAAATAACACCGTTGAAACACACTGCATCTAAAGAGCTCTCAATTGGCCCCAATTGGATACGTCAACAAACAAACACATTCTTTGCGTACATTGCTCTTACCAAACCTCACGCGTGGCCCTAGGCATCCGGAACAAATGGTTGTGAGACTCTGAGACTGATCTTCTTTTGGCAACTGCAACTATGCCGTATTGACACCATCAAAAAACGACTTGCATAGAAACCAACCAGCTGAGGATCTGCCGTGCGGAGAGCTTTTTGAAAGGTTCCGCCTCTGCTCCAACAGCTGGTCGACCTGTTCGGCATCATCCACCTGCATGGCATGCGGCGGACATTTCATTCGCCTGCCATGAGTACTTTGAGTGACTGACTTGTTCGCACTTGAGTTCAACCCCTGCAGCATGCCCGTGCATACCATGGCACCTTGCCGCTCCAAATGTCCCACTCGGCGACTTGGATATCCCCCAGCAAAGGGCCTCCATCAACACTGGATCCAGACTCACAGCGCCATTCCCCGGCCGAGTTTCGCGAAACATACTTGCGCAACTTGCACCATGGCATGTAGGCAGCTGAACTTTCAAAAAACATGCCAAACTGATATTCTCTGACCAAAACGGAGGCACCTCTCTTGCGTTGCTCGGTGTCCACGCGTCGAACTATAGGACTGAGTGGGGCATTGTCCTGGGCGTGGTCCTCCATCAGCAATTGTTGGCCGGCGCCACTGGCCAGCATTCGGTCAGCCACGGCCATGGCAATGTCATCCAGGGACCTGAACGCGTGTGTTGGCCAAACAAGTGGGCAAGTAGCAAGTTCCGAGATGTGTTTGTGGACACCAACCATGCTAATTTGTCCTGCCTGTTTTTGCCAGCGCAAGCATTTGACAGCACCTCCTGCACCATCTCCTTCGCATCTCAAGATGCACATGCAAACATGTGGCATGGGGTGCGGATCTTGTGACGTTGCTTCTTGCGTCCCGGCCTGCAGTTTGTCATCACAACGCATTCAACCACTTACCCTCAACACTGGGGGCAGCTCATTGCGCAACCACACAAAACTCAAACCAGGCGATGAACAGTTACATATCACAGCTGCTCCTTGTTAGCTTGAGCGATGAGGTCCCGCCAACATTGCTTGGGTGATAGAGCCTCCATGGCGAGGGCCATCCGACCTTCCCGGCTTTCCACCGGCAGCGAAGCCATGGATCAGCGCATGGCAAATGGAGGGATACAACCTCCAAGTGGCAACCCCGTGTATTTCAACTGCCACCAACATTTGTGGGGACATGCTGAATCGGCAAACGCAAATCCATCTTGAAGTGAGATGGGCATTGTGATTGATGAATTGGACATTTGAAACAAAATGACATGCTTATCCCAACCATGCACAACAACAGCAATCGCCTGAGCCACACATCGCGCAGAACACGATTGAACAATTCATTTGCCACGCGCTAACGGACCTCCCATTTTTTCGCAGGGTGGGGCCGTCCCATTTTTTCTGCGCTTTCGGCGTCGTCAACCCAGATGACTTAAATGGGCAAACGGCTGCAAACAAATATCCAAATCGTGCCGGGATTTTGATTTCAGTGAAACTCGGAGATGCATTGATGCTACATGGCAATCTCGAGTAACAATGGCATCAGCTGAGCTAAACAACTCGGTGAGTATGCCATGGTCCTAGTACGCCGACGATGATTGACCAAATGCCCAGCAAAAAACACATATTGGCAGCACACAAACATATTACGAGTAGCAAACAGTTAGTTATTTGGGCTTGGTTGCAAGAATACCATGATCACCCCTCAGGTCACACACTCGCTTCAAACTAGTGCGATTGAGCCTTAGCTGCGCAACAACTGCCATCATCAATTCGTAAGTCCCAAAACATGTTGATATGGCTGCCGAGGTCGCTGCCATACGTTCGGTAAGGATCTGCATAGCTCCCAGGCTGGAAAAGCATGATGCCATCCTTGGTTTCCAATGTTGTCAATAATTTCTTGAATTTGGGCACGTGCTGAGCTTGATGCGCATTGAAGCCAGTATTGAGTCGCAGCAGTACGCCAAAGCAGGCATGCCTAAAGCACTGCACATGTCAAATGCGCCACCAAAAAATTGGGTGGACAGTGGTTGCTAAGGCGGGGTCTGCATGCAAAGGAAAACCTCCAGACGCCGCACGGCGGTCCTGAGACAGAATTAATGTGACGGCCTGCCCCCCCCCCGGCGGGAGCATGTTTTGAAACATGGGCAATGCTCACAATTCAATGAATCAAATATGCCCGCAGCGTTGTAGATCTGCACGGCATCCGTCAATTGCCTCTCATGACAAACACTGAATGATGAATCCAGGATGAATTCATTAGCCAATCGAGGAATACGCTCAGTGCCTGTGCAGCTGTTCGACTTCCACCTGCGAATTCACAACATATGCAACACGATGCAACAAATTTTCCAGGTTGATACGTGTGATGCCCAACATGTTCGCATGGTACGGAACCAGATGGCATCAACTTGCTGACAAACAAACATCGAATCTATGACTACAGCTACAACACTCTCATGTCCGCCACACTTTCCGGAGAAGGATGCAAGCAGTCGCGACAGCACTTTCCTGCCTGCGTGCCATTTGTCCAAGCGCCGTGCAGCAAGCCGAAGGAGTCGGGCTTGGTCGTGTCCAGAATTGCTGCCTGTTTCAGGACTGTGCGCATAACGACGGGAACAGGGGCAACGGGGGCAACTCTTCACATCCAGCCGCTGAGATCCCGGCAACGCGACAAAGGAGCCGAATCACACTTTCCGCATCGCCAGTGACACCGGCGCAGACCATGCGCCTGGGTGACGGCCATGCTTGTTGCTAGTTGTCAACGCGGGACCATGCACGCAATCCAGCACCCTGGTTGGCGGGGCCTTTGAGCAAAACAAACCAGCTTTTTGCCATCCTCTGCACGCATAGCTGCACCGAATCTGCCGTCCTCTCGTTGGTCACGCTAGTCGGTGCCGGTGGTCTCCTTGCTTGGGACTGCCAGCTGGAGCTTCGTGTCAGCATGCTGCAGTTGTGGATCATTGGAATCAGAGAAGGGCTTGCTCTGGAACACCGTTGTCTGAAGATCGTCTTGCTCACTGTTTCACCAGCACGGGAGTCTGCGAGGTGAGTGGTCCACTTTGAAGTCATCCAGGACAGCCTGCCTGAGTTGGGGACATTGTGTTGTACCCCCCTGGCGGAGACTAGGAATAGCTACTGAGACGGTGGCATCTGCTTGGCCAGCGATCCGGCAGGAGCCTCTGAAATGCTTCTGCTCAAAGACCAGCCATGTTCGGCTAGGCGAGTATCGCAGTGCAAGGCAACCAGGTAGAGAGAATCGATGTCTGCAAGTTTGACTTCGCGCCAATTCCTGATGCGTCCAAGAGACACAAACTGCTTAGAACTGTTTGTTTCACAAGTATGCTTCATTCAGTTGCCAGGTGAAAGCATATGCTTGCATGACACTGTCATTTCCGAGTCGGGTGACGCGCGTGTTTCCATTGGATTGACCCAATGGAAGAACTTGAGCTGTTGCCAATCTCCCAGCCAGCCACCGCGGCTGCTTACGAACTCATTAGAATCATCCAGTGGCAAGATGACCAGCTGAGGCATGTTCTTGGGAGGGAAAGACACCTTGCACGCAGGGCATGTGCAGCATGAGCGCAGTTCAGATTCTGTCAAAGCTACACCTCGCTGTTTCATGCCATGGAGGAGCTGCCTTGCCTGCTGCTGGGTAAAGTGCAGGAGCGCATTCATGCCCCTCTGTTCTCGCTCATAGGGATGCAAGTGAAGCCATGCGAAATACCTCACATGGACGTGGGAGGTCTGCGGAGGGTCCATGTGGCCTTTGTGGCCTACTACCCGGGGCCCGCGGATCTATGACAAAGAATGAGTGACAGGCCGGGCAAGTGGTTGGGTCGACGCGGCACTTCATTGGCGAAGATACTTTGTGTACCACTCAGCTGTGCGACTGGAAGAGCGGGCATACAGCAAGCCTCAAGAATCAGGGAGGCTAGCGGCATCAAACTGGTAACCACCAACAAACACGTCAAAACGCGCTTGTTTGGGTTGAGCAGTTGAAGGCTTCTCATATATATATAATATATATATATATAATGTATATGTATATAAAACACTTGCCCCGTGTAGCGTTTGAATTTGCCGGCGCAAGCAGCCCATATTGAGGCAGTCTGCATCCAAGTGCTGAGTCATCAGCATATCGGCACTGGTGGTGCTGGCCAGCTCGTCAAGGTAAGGTCGGGGGTCTTGAAACCAAAAGGTGTCGAAGTCGAAGGCGACCCTTGGCTGCCCCGTTGGCCCCCGGTTTTTTCAGCTCCACAAAGAGACCAAAGGCAGCCAAGCAGCACATCAATCCCCAAATGAAGCATCAAATGCACCACGGCATGCCGCTGCAGAATCGAGCCATGCTCCAAATCCTCGGCCTCCTGTCAAGTAAGGGGAAAAAGTGCATCAGCTGCAGGCAGTGTCAGTCCTGGCGCCTGTTCTGCCTTGGCAGGCGACTACATGCGCAATCACAAAACTGTACAGGACGACGTGGCACAGCAATGCGGCAGCATGGCAGAAACCCAGGCCAACGGAAGACACGCGTGCGGCTAGGCGCGAACAATGGCCGAGATACGAGTAGAATGGGTCCCAGCAGCTGACGAGGCTGCTGCCCCAACCGCCCACGGCTTGAACGGCAGTTTCGCAGGTACTGCGGCAGGACTTGCCCATGACAACCAGGACTGTAGGTAGGTGCAACTTGTGCATCCATGCTACGAATTGAGGGATCACTTTCGACCACGTTGACCCCCACACAAATGATGTGAGGAGAACTTTCCTGTCGGCTGCCTTGAACTGGCATGCAGGACGCGACTCCCGCCAAAGGCATCCGCGTTGAAGGCAGGACTCCTGCGAAATTCCGGAATGGCCACACTCGCGGTGCTCAGGCTGCAGTGAGGCCCTGAGGGATTGTGTGGCTGCATCAAGGATGCCTTCAAAGGACGGCCGCAACTTGGTCGTTTGCCTCCAGGCACCGAGGGCTGTTTGCCACTGCAACAGGTCCATGCTGGAAAGCATCTCTGTGTAAGCAAGACCTTTGTCGTCAAGGCCGAAGGGAAGAATCTCATCTCGGGTTAGGTGTAAGTCACCGAAAGCGCGAAAGCGCTTGGACAAAGGATGAGCGCCTGCCCAATTGTAAATGTCGGACTGGAATCTGCCGAGTGCTCTGCCATATTCGGGCCCCTTGGAATGCACCGAGAGCATGGCCAGCACCTGGAAGACTGGCCACTGGGACGCGGAAATCATGAAAAAAGGCAGGTCCCCAAGGATCTGGTCCACAGCACGGACCCAGGTCTCCAATGTCTTCGTCTGCCGCACTGCAGCTGCCACCGTTTGAATCGTGCAAATGAAGAGGAATCCCACGGCACACTCGTCTTGGGCGGCATGGCCCACACTCACAGGGTCTTTGGCCAAGGTGTCCATTGCAGCTCTCATGACAGCTGTGTATTCAAGAGATCCTTCGCCGGGCTCCAAGCCGGCCATGCCTTGGTCACTCCACTTGCGAGACACTTCCAACAACTGCCCCCAGTCGATGCCCGTGTTTTTCGACGTGCATGCGGCTGCGGATCCCATCCGGTGGAAGTGCCGGAAGTGGTGCAGTGCTTCGTAAACCGGCCACCGGGATCCAGCAATCAAAAGCGCAGAGAATTGCCGCAACATCTTCCCAAGCCGGTCGGCCTGCTGTGTGAGCCTCTCGTCGCCTTCTTCAAGCAAGACGTAGGTGTGAATCAGTGTGAAGTATAAGGTGCCCAGGGGGCACTCTTGAAAACCCACATCTGCCACTTGATGGAAGCCGGACAACAATTCCGCTGGAAGCAGGAACTGAGGATCTCCGGGGCCTATCATGGGAATGCTTGCGGTTCATTGCAACAAGGACCCTTGGCAACCACACGCCCAATCGAGGCCTTGGAATCCATCCAAAACCTGCTTGTGTGCAGCATCCCAGTTCCAAGGAACCGTCAGGCTCACGCAGTCCCAGTTTTCGAAAAATGTCAGCTCATACCTGGCTCAGGAATCATAACTTCCCCAAACAGAACCAGAACACCACAAACGCAAACGAGGCACCGGATGTCCATCGCGGCTCTGGCAAGCACTGCATCCGGTCACGATCGAACCTATGCCCGACCTGCCTGTCCTGCAGCTGTTGCACGCTTGCCATTCCCTGCTGAGGCTTGCTGGTGCTGCTCCAAAACCCAAAGCACCCAACTCATGCTGGTGCTGAGCATGTTGATTGGAACTGTGCATTGATCGGAAGTTCTAGCATGCACTTGAGCCCATCAATTTCTCGCTGTTGCGCAGCCATCAAACATACAAAATTGCTTGCTGGCATGTCGCTTGCAACGCTAGGGCTGTGGCTGCTGCGGCATCAAGTGCCACCTCAACACAAATGATGACGGTGTGTCTTCAGCTTCTCGTTTCTGGCAGTGCTGCCCTCCCAACGCTTGTGCTCCCAAACTTCCGGATGGCCGGATGCTGATGAGAACCATTAACCAGCTGAGCCCAGTGCGGGGGCGATGCAGTCGGCTGGACCAGGTTGCACGCAAAGCTTGCATCCGAGACATGGTCTGGGCGGGCAAAGCGGGAAAGTCAGACGGGCATCGAGCGATAAAGAGACTGAAAGTGAGTGCACAGCATCAATCTTGGCATGCAGCTGTGTCCATCCCAAACTGTCCACGGCCCTCGTGACAAGGTGGGATGGCCAAGATCCTGTCGTGTGCCCAGTCAAGCGCCCAAACTATGTGTCACAAAAACAATCCAAATCGAAGTCCAACAGCAACAAACCGCCCTTGCACAACCCCCCTCCGTTGAGTGCAGTCACCTTCAATGTTGACCCTGGATTCATAAACCCAGCGGTCTACGTGGTATGTTTCCAGACGCACCCGTATCAATTTGCCAAAGAGCTTTTTCATCCTGGGGAGTGGCTAACTCAGTCAGGCTTTTGCTTCTCCAAGCGAGACAGGGAGGCTCCACGAGCATAAGCCCATGCTCCGCCGTCTGCATCATCAAGGATGGCCCATTCCAGTCGGTCCGGGCACCTGTCACGTGTTGCTCCCAGCAACTTGACACTATTTGCCGGCAACCTTCCATTCGGAAGTTCAGTCAGGAAAATCACAAGCAACAAGTAGCCATTTAGAGACTATCCAAGCCCCCGGCCAACGCAGCACACAGCGGCCTAATCGATAGGCTGCTCGATTTTCGCAAAGGAAAGGCCTGAGCACTCGGAAGGGATGAGCACCACTCTGCAAATTGCTTGGCTGGGGCAATGTTGAGGTCCCAGCTCGAGCCTATATACACCTGGGGCAGCCATGCAGACTGATGGAATGGCAACGCTCTCCCGGTTCTGAGGCAAGTGGCCACAAATGGCAGTCATTCTCACAGGCGTCTGCTCCTGATTCAGGAATCGCTTTGGACGCCATGCTTTGGAAACCAATCTCGCTCTGGGAGGTAGCCTTGTTCGGAAAGCTTTCAGGAAGGACAGTTGTCGAACAAGCAGAAAGCAGTGACCTTCCCGCCTGTTGGCTGGGGAAGTTGTGTCACTGAAAGTGTGACCAAAGGCAAGCTTACATGTTTAAAGCCCGACACGCAGTCACAAAGGCAACCGATTCTGCAGAACCCTGCAAGACTGGAGGCAGACTTACCAACTGCTTACCACACGCCGGATTTTCGCCTGATGCCCTCTGATATGTTCTGCTTGTAAAACCAGGCCAGTAGCAAAACGCAAGTCAGGGAAAAAACTGACAAGGCAACACTCTGTGCTGCATCTTTCCACTTCGTGCCTGTTGCCCGTCCAAATGGAGGGAGGTGCGGCAGTTGATGCAGGACTTGCAGGAGAGGCTGACTTCCAACCTTTGCCACCATGCACATCCAATATGGACAATGGACAGCCTAATTTCCAGCCCAGCAGTGGAAACAAGGCCCGTTTCTCTGTGGCCCTATTGACAGTTCTCGGGGTGTGACGGCCAAGAGCCCGAGATCTTGGACGGATCGTCACAAAAGCACAGACCTTGCCGTAGCAAAACCGCGTCAAAGAGCTGGCCGGCCTGACCCAAAAACACAAAGAGGCTCACAGCACACCAAAGGCATTCATGTTCCGCGCCGCGCCTCGCACTGGCCGTTGTAGAGCTGTGGGGCGAAGTCCTGGCAATGCCCAAGCTGTCGTAGCGAGAAGGGGCGCTTTGCAGGCATCGTCACGCGATGTCACGCGCATGCGCCCTGCCCGTACATGCATGGACATGGGGTTGCCGAGTGCCAGTAGTGTCCAAGGGATTGGGGGATGCAAGGCTTGGAGCAGCAGCATGACTGCTTCATGCCCAACACCACCATGCTAGGAAATAATAACGCGGCATAGGGCAAAAGCGTGACTCCGCCGCTTCTGGGGGGAGGGGTTGCAAATGACTCAAAGCAATTCACGCAACTCCATTTTGCGTATTGCACCTCATGCAAACCGCCTGCGACTTCCGTCTCACACATCCCACATCCTACAGCTTGCATCCAAGGTCTTTGGGCATAGCCGTAGACCAACCAACAAACAATCGAAAACCCACGGGTCGCCAAAGAATCAACAACTGTATCTGTGAAACATCGATGCTTGACGACCACTTTATGCGAAGAGGATGGGCTTTCGACCAACGTCGATCCAAACCGATCGAAGGCTCCTTCGTATTGTCCAGCGAAAGGAAGCGATGCTCCAAAAACATGGGAAGCTGCCAAGGCAGTGCTTGCGGCCTCAAGTCACGACCCAGGACACCCACCGGCCGTGTGCTTATGTGCTCTGAGGCCCAGCTGCCAAAACGGCATGATTGGATTTCGGACATCGCCACCGTAGACTCGAATCTGCAAAATGATAGCACCGGTGCCAGTCCGTATTTATGCTTCGGGCCTCGCCTTTGTCCCCCAATCTGACCATCCGCCAGTGCATGCGGCAAATGCGTGTGCCAACATGACCTGAGGTGTCCCAGATCCCAGTCTCAAGCCGCTCGCGCCCTGTCCCCAAGCTTCTGGCACTCGTCGGCACATACCGGGCCTCCAAGTGAGGCGCTTGGGTCCAGCGAGACATGCACGTGCAGTGCTCCGCCTGTGCTTCTTGCAAGGTGTCATCTGCACAGCCATCTGCTGCGGACAGGATCTTCAGCGGACCGCGCTGGTTGACATCACGGCCTCGTGACTTTTGTGCATAGCGTTCACGGCGGATGGCTTAGCCCCGTGCTCTTGAGCACATCGTAGATGTAGCGCGCAGTTGAGTTGATGATCTCCGCGCACGTGCCCAAAATCTCGTTGCTGTCCTTCCAAGGGGCAAGGTGGCTGTGAGATGCCTGAGTGACATGCTGCCTGACAGCTCCGCCAGCCAGGGAGCTCGCGCTCCCCACGGCCACACACGGAACCTGGAGAGGCAGACATGCACGGCAGGTGCCTAAAATTGCCTAAATCTGCAGGGGCAAGCCCAGGGCCCCAGCCAAGGGCATATGGAGTTGGGCAAACAGCACGTGGCATCCTTGGCAAGGCCCCGCATGTCAAGGAGCAAAGTCTGGCAGTTGGGGGGGTTCAAGCATAAGCTTCAGGTGCAGTCAAGCCTCTGCCGCAGGTCAGGCATCATGGGTGATGGAGATGGAACAAATGAGGAATTGTCTTGGTACTGGTACTCAACGTCCTGTGGCGAGGGCGGCTGCTAGCTAGATTAGATTTGTGCAGCATGTCCTGGTGCTCTTGATAAAGCTGTCCGACCTGCTGGGGCAAGTCGTACATGTCCTGGCCAGATCTCATTTTGCCGTGGCTCAGCTGAAGGATGGTGGTCCTGCTGACTGAAGCCGTTGTAGACACACTGGCCGTCCTGCAAGTTGTTCTGAGTCCTGCGCGCGCTTTTGCGCTCCCAACGCCAATGGCAAAAATCCAACAAGCTTAGCTAACCCTGCCTCTGGTCCAAGGGGGTCTCGCTTGCAAAGGTTGGAACCACCTTCCCGGAGCAAAGGGCAGTCTTTCTGGGCCGGGGTTTGGAATAGATCATTTGGCTCGAGCAAACCCACCGCACCTTCCGACCCGCGCCATTCCTAAGCTCGTGCCGAGCCAGCTTCTGATAGGCATGCAGTCGCTTGAATCCAAGCCACGCGTGCCCGGCATTGGCAGTGCTCTTCTCCTGCAAGACCTCACGCCCAGCTGTCCGGTCCTCACAACGCCACATCTGGTCGAAACAATCTGCCATGCGCACAGGGGCGGCTTGGCTTCGACTGGCATTCTGCAAAATACATGCCGAGCGTCCCGGTGAGTGGCGAAACTGCGCCCGTTCTGGCTTTGTGGCCCAGCTCCGCATGCCTTCGGCTGGAAAAAACAACAACGCTTTACCACGCGCAAGTGTCACAAGCCGTGCCCTCGCAGCAATGCGGGCTCATTTGCCTCCAAACTCCCGAGGCATCGGCACTCCGTGACCTGCTCTTGGTTGTGGCTGCACAGCGGCTCCCACAACTACCTTCGCAGCGGCAGTCCTGTCACCCCGGATGCCCACAAGCCAAACATAGGCAAAGAAGCAAACCAGGAATTTTAAGGGCAACTTCTGCGACCTGGCTCTTCTTCTCGCGCTGCGGCAGCCTAAGCCCCCAAACTTGACAACACTCACCGACCTCACCGGGCCGCCTAAAACCAAAGTGGGCGACCTCTGGGCACCCAGCAGCTGCAGCTGACGCCTGAGCTCTTGGTGCTCCAGCTCCAAGGCCTCACGACATTGAACGCGCAAGTAAATCGAACACCCAAATGGCACATTGTAGCCTTCTGCACGTTTGCTGAAAGCAGATTGCCTTGACTTTGCCAACATGTTCCATGATCGATAGGTGTCATTTGGGAATCATGAAGGCCAGCGTAGCAACTTGCAAGGCCAAACTAGGGTCTCCTTTCGAGCCTACCTATTGCTGGAGCTAGTGGGCCATGTCAATACATGCTAGATTTGCTGGACGCAGCCGCGACCATCCGCATGGCGAGCATCAGGTTATGATGAAGCTAGGGGTCCCCAAGAAAGGTATTGGCAACGAGCATGAGGTAATTCTATCTGTAAGCAAGCTTGTCGTGAATTCAGCAACAATGTGTCCAAACTTCAAGGCCTTAGGCCCGCCTTCAAGCGCGCCGCCGCCGTCTGTGATTTTGAATCTGCGCGGGATCCTGTCAGAGCGTGACAGTGCCCTAACAATCCCTTCCGATCCGCCCTGGCTCAGCACAAGACCCTCTCCTTGTCGGAAAGTTTGGCCAGGTCTACCGGTGCCATAGTCTAAGTCAGAAAAGAAACATGCGTGTGTCATGGTCAATTCACATTGCGTGCTAGGCTCTTGACTGGATGTGCGGCACTTGCAAGCTGACGACCAGCAATGCGAGGGCTGCACTTCACCTGCATTGTGTCAAGATATCAAGCCAGCCGGCAGCTTTGCGGAATAGCTAAGCTAGCCACAGCGCTGACAGTTCTGGTCCCACGAATCCATGGTCCCACCAAACCTGTCTTGCAGAATCTCATCCGCTTGCTCTTTGCCATCGCCCAGTGGCCTGTTGTTCCACCCGGCATCTGCGCCAGCCTGAGGCAGAAAGTTCCGATTGAGCCATGTTTCGCAGCCCATCCCCTAAGCCAATGGATGGCAGGAATGGTGGCACGCCGTTTTGGATTTTGAGCACGCACTGGCAGCCAGCATGGCCTGCCAGTGTGGGGTGCCAGTCGGATACCGCAGGTGCCTGAGCAAGCTGCTGGCACCCATGAAAGAACAGGAATTGCAGTTTGTTCAGTCAAGCCCTGACCTCGCAAGGAGAACAACTCTTTTGATCCGTCGTCTGGACTCATGAACGGAAACCTCTTGGCTGCCCACATGGCTTGTGCTTCTTGCTGCCAGCATCTGGTTCCCTGCACGAACATTGCCAGCAACTGTTGCATCTGCCCCGTGCAACAATCAAATCACATGATCCGCTTAGAATTACTCAGAAATTATGCTTGCCTCGTGACGCTCGGGTTGGTAGAACCCACATGGTCGTGCGCTGTATGCCTGCCAAATTGACACTTCGCAACGGAGGCAACACCTCCCACAACTAGAGAACGACACAGTGCCTCCGAAACCTGGTTCGGAAGGTGGTCATCGCGCAGTTGTCGCCATCCATTGCATTGTGGCTGCAGCATATGGCAAGCCGCCACAAACAAACACGCTTGCCAGCAGTTGAGCTCCAAACATGGAACTGGTGCATTAGTAGCAGTGTTTGCTGCAAAACTGGCCAATCAAACATGCATCCACTGTAAAAGAATGCGAACTTCCATTGGCAACCAGAGGCAGTTGAGGGTGCATGGCTGCAAACGCGGTTTCAGCACACATGTTGCGCCGCAACATGTCGCTGGGAAATGCTGCCTCGCAGCAATTCCAGCGGACAAAAACACAAAGGATACAACCACAAGAACCAGGATTTGTTGTCAAAGGCTATGCATGCTTCGCTTTGAAGATGAGGAACAACACAGTCAGCGTGGCAAGCCCGCTTGGAGCAACGCTGACCAGCTGTCTCCGACAGCAGGTTGAAAGCAGCCGTGGAGCAAACGCAAGACATTGTCGCGCCGAGGAATGCAGCAAAACAGCAAGAGCAGCCAAAAACCCGCGCGCGCGCTGGGTTAAGAGCAAGGGATCGACAAGCTTGGGCGTCGACAGGCACAAGGAAACAATAGCTGGAGGGCCAGGGAAGGCGAGCCAACGAAAACAGGATCTCCGACAGCAGCAAATTCGGAGAGTCCCGCTCAGAAGAGTTTACGGCCAGCGTTGTCACAGGGCCTCGACCTTTTCCGCCCAAGCGGCGATGTGAAACCTTCGACCAACCGCCCATAGGAATTTGGGTTGAAGGCACTTGTACTTCTGCAGACGCGTCCGACTTGCCGACGGAATGGAGGGCTGGCGATGAGTCATGCCGCGTGAGGAGCCGCGCCGACCACGCCAGCCGGCAGCCGCCGCCCCGGGACGGAATGGGCCCGGACCCGGGCGAGCTGTTGGAAAAAGGCGTGTGGAAAGAGAAACACGGGGTTGTGGGGGGGCCAACTCTTACAGCAGAAAAGGCGCGCGGAAAGAAACATGAGCAGGCATAATTTTCAATGACAACCCTGCTGCTAACCGGGGTGACGGCAGCGCTCCGTACTACAGCTTCGTCCGGATTCTATTGTAATCCAACCGCTGCAAAGGCGAGAGGATCCAACAGCATCCCGCCTTCACCGTCCTTGCAAATAGCAGAATGTCATCAGCACACCGCAGGTCAAGCCGTCGCCCAGATCGAAACCGCGATGGCCCCAAAGAAGCCGCCACTCAGCCATTGCTTGCTGTAAAATAAGAATGAACCAACGAGGGCTAAGTGCACACACTTGCCGCGCACACCAGCTGAAATTGGGAAGCTACGGCTACCACCTGTCCATACTGACCCCTCATACATATGGCGCAATAGCCACATCAGGTGGTCGGACACCTTGCAAAACAGTCTGGCGCATGCAATCGGTTGAAAGCCAGTAGGGTATTCTGAATAGAGTTCTTTCCATGATCCTGCGACGTCCCCAGTGAGCAGCACCGTGTTGCACACGTTACTCCCCAGTGAGCAGCACCGTGTTGTACACGTCACGAAGAACGCGCAATAAACCATTAGACACTTACGTCAAAATTTCCGCGACGATGCCAACATCATCCAAGGCCTTGATCAGCTTCAGCCCGTGGCTACCTTCACCTCATTCAATTCAACGTGCTCGCAAGCCCTTTGAACATGATGGGTGTTGGGCACGCCGACGACCCTTCCACAAAGAACTTCGCAACAGCAATCTTTGTTTACTTTGCGTTTTGCGTTCCTATGGGCAGTGCCAGACAATGGTTTCCACTCACGCGTGTTTTGTCTGTTGGTTTTACACATGCTGCACCCCATGAGGGTTACTTTGGTTTTCAATTTTCAGCAACCCCGAAACCAGCTGGACACTACAGAGGGCCCCAAAGCAGTTTCATTGAAGAGGGTACAAATGTTTGCCAGGATACGTTTGCCTTTTTTTGCCCGACTTGTTTGCCAAGTTTTTGTTGCCCATGTTTTTCCAGCGTTGTTTCCGGCATTCTCCGGCCAAAAAACTGGCCATAATAGAGGACCCGTAAAACAGTCACAGGATCCAGAAGTACGAAAACTAGACACCGATTATCCCGAAAGCGTGTATAAGAAAGGTGATGCAATAATGGGTATATCTATGATGATATATATATATATATATACACTGCTTCTCTCTCTCTCTATCTTGCTATTTCTCTTTCTCTCTTTCTATTTCTCTTTCTCTCTTTCTCTCTTTCTCTCTTTCTCTCTCTCCTTCGCTTTCTATTTCTCTTTCTCTCTTTCTCTCTTTCTCTCTGTCTCTCTCTCTCTCTCTCTTTCTCTCTTTCTCTCTTTCTCTCTTTCTCTCTTTCTCTCTTTCTCTCTTTCTCTCTTTCTCTCTTTCTCTCTTTCTCGCTTCTCTCTTTCTCTCTGTCTCTCTCTCTCTCTCTTTCTCTCTCTCTTTCTCTCCGTATTTCTCTCTTTCTTTTTCTTTCTCTATCTTTCTTCTTGTCTCTCTTTCTTTCTCTTGCTCTCTCTATTTCTCTCTCCTTCTCTCTCTTTCTCTCTTTTTCTCTCTCTCTCTCTCTGAGAGAAAGAGAGAAAGAGAGAAAGAGAGAAAGACGTTAAAATCAGTTGTTACTTTGCTTACAAGTGCAAGTGCTGTAATGTTCAAACAAACAGTCAACCGATGTAGTCTGCAGCTGCCAACATTTTGACTCATGCGGAGTAGTAAGCTCAAGGCCTGCGGTAGTGAACATACATGCAACAAGAGTGCAAAGTGAAGCATGTAGTTTGACACGGCCCCTCAGTTAAAAGGTCTTTTTGCAGTACCTTTTCAACTGAAGTGCAAAACATGGATTGACAGTAGTGATGAACACCATTGTTGTTCATCAATTCTACTGTATTGACAAAAGTAGTGACCTGCACTCAGTAGTTCACGCTGTTCAGGTTCCAGCTCGATGTAGGGCGCTGGACGGAAGTAGTGAAGGCAGGCACTCGTTGTAGTAGAGCAGGAGCTCAAAAATGTAGTCCCCATTTCTGGGTGCGGTAGGCTTGGACCATCTGTAGTCGACTGTCCAAGGTCGCGTAGTAGTTGGTGGTGAAAAAGGTTGTCATGTAGTTTGGAGCTCCCCGTAGTCGCTCATCATCAATCTCGGGACACGACATGTGTTGGTCGTAGTCCCGTAGAAAGCGGTGTAGTAGTGCTTTGTGGTGTTGTGTGAGGTTGGTCATTGTGAGTAGTGTGAATCCGTAGTATTGGATGCTTTTGCAGAGGATTGTAGTGATTGCTTTGTGCTGGAAGTCGTGTAGTTGGTCTCGGTTGTAAGGGTAATGGAGTAGTTCCGGTAGAAGTAGTGGCATGTGGTAATTCCAAACGTAGTTGTTCCTGAGGCTGTAGTTGTCGGTGAAGGTGGTCATGTTGTAGTTCACCTTGAAGATGGTCTGTGGCAGTGTTGTAGTCGGGAGGTAGTAGTTGTGTTGTACCGACATCATGTAGGAGATGTAGTCCCTTGTGAAGTGTAGAAATTGTCCTGAAGTGAGGTACCTCAGGAGTAGTGGTTGTTCAATCTGGAGTTGGATGATGACGTAGTTGGTGTTGTCGCCAGTTGTAGTGTGGAGTGAAGTCGTGTGGTAGTAGTGGACGTTGGCTGCTTCAGGTAGTGAAATGCTGAGCAGTGTGGAATTGTAGTGTGGCATCCGAAGATCTCCAGGGATGCAGTGAATGGGTCGTGTGTAGTCCAGTTGTGCCAGTGGAGTAGCTTGTTGTTGTGAGAGTAGTTGATACTCTTCAAGTGTAAATGCAGTGAAAAATTGAGTGTAGGGAATGTTGTCGGGCAGTGGTGGTGCAGTGGTTGTCTGGTGCTCAGTGATGTGTAGTTGGTCCATCACTGTGGTCGGGTTGTAGTAGACGGTGTTGCCGGGTGTAGAATGGTTGAAGTGGTAGTTGGAGTCGTTGTAGGTTTGAGGTGGTGGAGTTCCATGGTCACTGGAGTCCGTAGTGACCGCCACCTCAGGTGTAGTCGCCCTGTCGGGCGTAGTGGCGTCTCCCATCGTAGCATCTGCAGTAGATGGAGCGGCCATGGCTGCAGTGGAATGCAAAATGTAGTGAAACGGGGCAAAACAAATGAGCCTAAGTAGTTGCTACCAGGCAGTCGGCGAATGCAGACATGTAAAACAAACAACTGTAGTGTTGACTCAAGCCGCCAAAAGTGCAAGTGAAAGTACATGTAGTTACTGTTACTTACATACCAAAAGTGTCGTGTTACATGTAGCTACTTACATACATGAAATGTCCAAAGTCGTTGTTGTTGTTGTGAAACTGCTGCGCTGGTCGTTCGTAGTGCTAGATGCGTATTCCAATGCTCTGGATGAGCCTGTGTAGTGTTTCTTTGCTGATGTATTTGGTAAACAAATCTGCGCTGTTGTGGAGTGTGTTGATCTTAAGGATTCTGATGATGTCGTGCTTGATGAGGTCTTGTGTGTAGAGGAATTTGAGGTCGATGTGTTTTGCTCGTTTGCTAGTGCCTTGTCGTGTAGCAATGCTCTTGCCTGCTGTGGAGTCTGTGTGGATGCGTAGGTTTAGCTTGCTGCAAATGTTGGTTTCAAGTAGGAAGTTTCTGAGGTGTAGTCCCTCATTAACTCCTGTGCAAATGGCGTAGAGTTCAGACTCTGCTGAGCTGAGTGCTATTGTAGCTTGTGTTCTGCTGCCAAATGCAACTGTTGTTCCTAAAAAGATGATGTTGAAACCTGAAGTTGATTTCCTGGTAGTAGGGCATCCTGCCCAGTCGGCATCGACATGAACGTCGAGATCCAGGATGTTGTTGGTGTTTGCTCTGAGTGTTGTTGTTGGTTCTATGGTGAATTTGTAGTGCTTGGTGCCGTGCAAGTAGCGTAGTAGATGTTTGACTCTCTTTTGTGAAAGTTCTGTAGGTGCTGTGAGGTCTCGTGCTAGTTCTTTTGTGGAGTATGCAATGTCTGGTCGTGTGTGTGCTAACCATTGTAGTTTGCCAACAATCCTTCTGTACCTTTTGTGTTGTTCGTGGTCAAGTAGTGCTTCATCTTCTATTGTTGGTTTGTAGTGTGCAATTCCTGGAGTGTTTACTGAGTTGCAGTTGTTCATTCC